TTCTCGGTCAGAGAAGTTCATCACAAGGGAGCTAGGGCAACGAGCAGGCTTTGAGGGAGTGTGCTGACAGATGAGGTCAAACCTGGGGGCGCTCCTGGGATGGAGAGCTCCTCTAGTCCTGAAGCTCTAATTTCCACCTAATAGCAACAACCCCCACCATCTCCCACCCATCTCCCCAGGGCAGCAGACTTGCCTATCCACCTGGCTGCCCCACGCCTCCCACGGATGCAAACGGGCATCTCACACTGCACAGGTCTGGACCCGACCCCGGATTCTACCCCACGAGCTGCTCCTCAGGCAGCTCTCCCTGTCTCAGGGAACAGCGACTCCTCCATCTTACACCCCGTCCCTCCCTGGCACTCTGCATCTTACCCATGGGCAAGTACTCTCACTTCCCAAGTGTTCTGAAGATCTAATCACTGCTCCCCACCCCACCGACAGCTCCCAGTCAACGCTGGTTCTCTCTGCTTCTGCCCTTGTAACCTACAGTATTGTCTCCTTTAAAGGATGTCAGATGCGTCCCTCCCTGTGCTCACAGCCTCCAATGGCTTCTGTCTTGCCCAAAGTGAAAGCCAACGCCAACCTCAAGGCCCCATCTGACTTGACCCCCCTCAATTCTCTGACCCCATTTTTAAAGAAGATTTTGAGAGAGAGGTCTCATGACCGGGAGATGATGATGAAACCAAGAGTCAGACGCTAAACTGAGCCACCCAGATGGCCCGACCTCATTTCCTCTACTCTTCTTGCTCACTCTGCAACAGCCAAATTCCCCCCTCAGGGCCTTTGCATTTGCTGTTCTCGCTGCCTGTAACCTTCTTACTCCACCTATCCACAAGGTGTTCTTCGTGCATGTTAGTGAAGGCTTCTCTGGCCTTCTCTAGCAATCCTCTCTCCCTCACCGGCACTCCCTGTCCTTCTTTGCTTTCTCTCTCTCCACAGCACCCACCACCTCCTGACATACCACATCTGTGTTGTCTATCCACCCTGACTGAGTGTCAGCTCTACGAGGATAGGGACTTCGTCTCTTTTGGCCACAGCCCTACTCCAGGACCTAGAATGGTGCCTGGCACAGAAGTAATGGTCAATAAAAGGGTGATCACGCGACCTGCAAAGGGGCAAGGGCAGCAGAGCTCTCCCGAACAGTCACCAGGAAGGCCATTCTCCTTCTTCCCCCTCCAGACACAATCGGCCACAGGAAGCAACAGTCCTGGGAGAGGCCCTCCTTTCAGGGTCTCAGCACATCACCCTCTCTCCTACCTTCCCAACCCTCCTTCAGGTTGAGCTCGTGCCCCTTCCCCCCAAATATGCCTGGACTAAGTGGGGGCTGCTCACTGCATGCTCCTCAGTACCTGCACTTCTGTTCTCAGGAGTTGTGAGACTTAGGAGTAACTTGTTCACCAACTGAGCATCAGACCGGCCTGCCCTGGGTTGCCTCATGGTTGTGAGGAGTAAGTGAAGTAATTCATCTAAGTAGTTTGATAGGAATTGGTCAATAGCAGTCAACCAATATAACCACAATTAGAGTGGACACGCCAACATTTGTTTGTGACACAAACGCAGTATGCTAGAAGTAATGTGTAAGCCAGAAATCACAGCCTTGGATAATCCCTGGGAAATGCTGGGGAACCACGGCCCACATTTTGAAGATCACTGTTCGAGATACTGAGTATGACTGTTCAATTCCCTCAAATTCCAGTGGGCCTGGCAATGCAGCCCTGGCTAGACCTGGCTCGGTCTCACAGACCCAGAAGGTGGGGGTGCTGGCAACCCCTTCAGGCATCCTCTACTCTCCCCATGCAACATGCAGTCTCGGAACCAGCAGCGTGTGCTCACCTGGGAGCTTGTTAGACATGCAGAGTCTTGCCCTCTTCCCCAAGATTTACTGAATCAGAAGTTGCATCTTAACACGTTCAAGTTTGAGAAGCATTGCCCCAGATCACAGCATCTCAGACTAAGGGCCAAAAAGGATATTCACCACCCCACCCCCCAAACCTGAGAGCTCCATCGAAGTCCTGGCTTTTACACATGGCCATATCCATCTTCTAGAGAAGGGCATCTGAGACCCATCAGTCATGCTAACCTGTCAGAATCCATTCTCTGGACACCCTGACCCCCAAACTCAAACACACTCTTCACACAGCAGTCTTGCCTGCTCCCTACTGCACTCCCAGGAGCGCCCTCTGGGCCCGTTCTCTTGGCTGCCACAGGGCTGGACACCAGGTGGTGTCTGGGAAAGTGGCCGGGTCACAGCCAGCAGGTGAGGGAGGGGCCTTCTCGAGAACGGGGTGGGAGGTACCCAAGTACAACCTGAGCTGGGGCAGGGAAGTGGCTTGAGGACCTGTTTGTTCTGCCAGGAGGGCTGGGCCTGGACCACTGCAACCAGCTCCCCCCACACCTCCACCCCTAACCTGGGCAAGAGAGCCCCCTCCCTGTCACCTAGCCCGCGTGGGAATGGCTTGAGCCAGGAGCTACCATCCAACCTGCTCCCCTCTCCCAGGGCCTAGTGACTTCTTGACAGGTTACAGCCCCAAAGACAAACAGATTCTGCCAAGCAAATAAGTGTCCAGCGGTAGGTAGGGGTGTTGAGGACGGCCCGGGAGTGGGTCTGAGCTGCCAGAAGACCCAGGTGACAGGGTGGGGGCCCCTCTCCTGCAGAGAACAAACAGCCCGGGGCACCTGGAAGGAAGCAGGATGCTGGTGTGCTGTCACGGCACTGGGTGGGGGCTGGGTGAGGGCACTCCCCACAGGGGTCTCTGGGCCAGTCTCCCACACTGGGTGTGGGCTCTGTGACCAGGCTAACCAGAGGAACTGCAGTCCTGCATTTAGGCCCGTGGAGCGGAGGCCAGCTCTGTGGTGCCTCCATTTCTGTCGTCAATCTGTGGCCACCGGTTCCCTCACTAAGCTGCCTACAGGGAGACGGCCTCACCATCCTTTAACACACACAGCCTTGCCAGCAAGGGTGAAGGCCCAATTGGGGGGTGGGGTCTGCAATTAAGTGAATTTAATGCCAGCATCTGGGAGCCGAGGCCATGGGTCTGAGCCTGTAGCAACTCCCTTCCTCTCTGATCTCACTTTCTCTTCAACACAGGAGTGATTATGTGACTAAACAAACTTGAGTTCTGAGCTCTTAAACGTGCTACAGACATGAAGAGATGGATCCAGTGAACCCACCATTTGCTGTCATGCCAATTAAGTGCTTTTCATGCTATCTGACCACCATGTAATAACCTGGCTCCCCATCTGCTGGCCAAGGCCATAGGCCTATCTCGCAGTAAGTACAGGGGCAAGGTTCCAAGCTGGCTTGCCAACTGCCTAGAACGTGGTCGCTACTTCTTAGGTTGCCAGGCCGGTCCACAAAATCTTACATAATCCATTAGATGCCAGAAGCAGTGCCTAGAGCACTGAAGAACTATACCCAACCGCCATGGGAAACATGTAAGGGAAGACACATTCCCTCTTCCGTCTGTATCTAGGATGCCAGAGGCCCAGCTGGGACTAAGAAGGGGGACTCCCCAACTCAGCGTTGTCTTTTTTCCCAGGAGGAAAGATGCCCGTGATGCTCCGCATTCCCTCTGTGCTATTCCTCTACCTGGGCCACATACCTGAAAGGCCTGCTGGCTAATGGGCACTAACTTGGCTGCTACCGCTTACGTGCTGGGCATGGTGAAGTGCTAGAGAGATGCACAGTACCCGGGGGGACCTTAAGGCCCTTGGAAATTATTTCCTCCCCTTTTTGGTCACTGAAGCCAGGAAGGGCAGATCTAATGATAACCCCAGGGCGAATTTCCCAAACATAATCAAACCCAGGGTCTCAGTTTTCCCATTTGCAAAAGGAAGACCCAGGAACCAAAAAGTGCACATCACAGAGTCACTGTGGGGGCAAGCAGATACACAGGGTGCTTGATGGCACAATAAAACTCACTGACACACATGAAAATAGGTTTTTTTTTTTGGTGTGTGTGTGTGTGTGTGTGTGTGTTAATTTAATCATACAAATATTCATTTATACAGTAAGGAAAAACCTCCCCATCTTCATCTCCTCCCAGGCACCATGAGGCCCCACCACAAACACCCACCCAGCTTGCTTGCTACACACCACTGTCCAGGTGGAGGGGGCAGCCACAGCTGCTCCAGCATTCACCCAAGGAAATGAAGGAAAGGCAAGGCAGGGTGGGGTGGGGGAATCAGCTTGCATTTCTGAGCCCTAGCAACCCCACCATCCTCTCCTGCTGGGGCTCCGACTGAATTTGGGGATCCCATCTTGGCCACCCCCAAGCCACACGAGCTGTCTTGGTGAGGTTCTATGATGAGCTTAAGGTTACAGCCAATCCTTACTGGGGGAGAGAAGGCTGTTTCTTGTAGAAAAATACCCCAAATTCAACTGCCTCCATGGCAAAAAGGAAAAAAAAAAAAAAGGCATGCACGCGTACACACATCCACACACACCTCACTCCATGCACACGCTAGGTTCTTCCCAGGCCTGAGCCCCTCTGCCTCCCTCGCTGGGCTCAGGCCCCTAAGGGTGCCGTCTGCCTCCTCTCGTGGGTGCCAGATACTGGTGGTCCTGCCTAGAGGCAGCCTGCCTTCTGGGGCTGAAAGGGTCACTTCTACCACCACACTAGGCAGGGGAGGAGGGGGGCTCTAGGCACTGCTCAGAAGTCAAACCAGTGAGAGGAGACAGACTGAATGGGACTGGTGGCCCCCTGGTCCTGGGGGAGCCGTGGAATCCCGACTCCTACCGCACGGCTTGTGCTTGCTCTGGCTCTCTGCAAGGAGCTCGCCTCTCCAGTGATGCACACAGAAATGGTTTGCTCTTGGGAGGGGAGTCAACGTGCTTGGGACAGTCACCTTGCCTACAAGCCGAGGGGAGGAGCAGGATGCCTCTGGCAGGACCAGACCCACTAACGGTGACCTATGAAAGCGCCCCCCTCCTGGGAAATGGGGAAGGGACACCAGGTGTGCGGCAGATGAGGCCAGGAAACCAGGCCATGTAAAGCCTCCCACGATCCTGCCAGCGGCAGCTGGAGATGTGCTATTTGGAGGGCTGGGCGTGTGTGGGCTCCAGGGTGACAGGGTCCCAGGAGGTTGGCACCAACAGTAGTGGCAAGCTGGGCCCAACAGGGCACTCAGACAAAAAGTCATGGTGAGCCCCTGGCTTGGGCCAGTGACGGCCTGGGCACCCACCAGGGACGCCCCTCTGCTCTGCTCAGGACTGGGGCACTCGAAAGCACTGCAAACGGCCGCTCCTGTGTGAGCCTTAGGCTAGCCCCAGACCCAGCTGCCAGACCTTCTCAGCAGGCTGGCTCCATCCTCCCCCAGAGCTTCTCCAGTAGACCAAAGGGTTTCCCGCCTTTTATTTTTGGGGAGGTGGGGAGGTGAAGGAGGAATTTCATACAAGCTTTTCTCCCACAATCAAGCTTTAGAAAACAATAGTCTCAGAAGAGGACAAGGAGGAACAAAGAGCACACATTTCTGGAGCTTGGACACCCAGAAAGAGACAGACGGGCAGGCAGACCCTCACCCACACCCAGGCTCTATGACCCCCTGCAGCCGCTCATCACCTGGTCTCCCAGGTTGTCTCACACCCCCGAGGTGGGTGGGGATGCGGTTAATAGGCAGGTAACCCTGCAACCGCACCCTAGATCCACATCCGCGGCTATCAAACCAGCCAAGACTCAAGGGAAGGAGGGGGTGAGAAGGAAAGAGAAGAGGGACTTTGCATATTCTTGTATCTTTGGCAGACAGCTGTTCTAGCCTGGTTCAAGCTTCCCATGGAGAGGTCCACAGCTCAACCTGCTTGGAATCCATAGGATTCCAGTGGGGCCACCTGCCCAAGTGGGCAGCCAGCCAAGTAGCCTCTGCTCTGGCTGGGCTGCCCCCCGCCCACCACCTCCCACTAGCCAAGCATCCTACTCAGGGTGGGGGTGCTCTCGTTTCATCGAACTGTGGTCTCCAAAATCACATAGTCAGTAACTGTGGCCCCTCCCCATGGCCAACTCCCTGCTTGGGGCTATATTTCCATACCTTAACAGCTCAGCCTCCACTAACAGGCTGTGAAAATACCACAAAGGACAATGGGAGGGAAACACAAGGAAGGGAGTTGTGTCACAACAGAGAAGCCTGGACACCTTTCCACCTGCCTGCTGCACACTTTGCTGGTGAGCTGCATCAACACCCGTGTGTGTGTGCATGTGGCACACACATGTACGCAGCACAGAGGCACTGTTCCCAGAGTGAATGGGGAGCCGCTGTGTATGAAGAATCCAAAAGAGTAGTAAGCGTGATGGCATCTCTCTCTGCCAAGAGAAACATGGAAGAAAAGCAATTTGAGTTGTTGTGTGTGCAGAAGGACACCTCTCGGCCTTAGAAACTCCCATGTTGCCCGAGATCTGTCTTCAAGGCTTCCTCTGCTGGCCACACAGGGAAGTTTGGTCTTCAGAGAGGTTCTGATGGTAACAAGCCACAGGGGTTGACGGATACAAATGTCAAAGGTGTAAATCAACAGAAGATTAAAGAGAAAAGAAGAGGAAAAGGATGATAACTCATTGGCCGATGCCATTAAAAACAAACGGGGTCAGAGACTGCTGGAGTCGGGTGGCGCAGGAGATGTCCTCCTGCGGCACGGACCCGCAGAGTTCCCAAACATGCCACGCCAGCCTGTAACCTGAATCGCTTCCAGAGCAAGCAGCTATTCTAGAAAGGGTACGTTATCCCTTACCTAAAGAAAAAAAAAAGTGAGGAAAGGGGGAAAAAATTAACATGTGCTTAAAACTACAACCTGTCTGTAGGCAAAATAATTTTTGTTTAAAAAGATGGCTTTTTTTCCCCCATTTGAAACTTTTTTTTCCTTCCCGGGTGACCTAATGACTTGTTAGACTGATGCCTAATAAACAAAACCCAAGGCGGCTGCATGGGTTTCTTCTTAGTAGCCTCAACACCATTCCGCGATTCAGCATTCACACATGCATACTGAGTTTACTCAAAACTAGTCTGTTCTGCTTCTTCCTCTTCTTCCAGGATTGGGGGGGGGGGTCAGAGCCAGGGGTCCATGCGGTGTGGTCTGCAATCCAGAGGAACCCCCTGCCCTCCCCCCCCACCCCAAAGTCAGGCCTTCTGTCTTTTGTTAATTTTTCTTCTTGCCGATGCCCGTTTAAGACTGGCCGAAGGGGTAAGGCCCGTGGAGCCCCTGGAAGAGAGTGAACACAGTCAGTGATGGTAAACAAAGCAGGTACAACGTGACAATCAAACCAAGTCAAAGAATCTATGGTCCCCAGTGAGCCAGAAGGAAGCCCCATGGCACAGACAAAGCCTGAGGGTTGTCCTTGCCCTGCAAAACCTCAAGAGGCCAACTCTCAGCACTGCCAGTCGCTAAGTGTTCCCACTGCATTACGTCATCCGGAGAGAGGGAAAGCAGTGGGGGGCGGTAGACCTCATCTTTCAACTGCTGCCTCAATCAGCACCAAACTTCCTCCACCTGGGTCACAAAGCCTGTCTTCCTGCTGGACCACAAGGTCTCAACCTCTCTGCTAAAGATCCCTGTCCACCATTTTCTGCACCTTAACCTCAGATGTAGGCTACTTCTGGCTAATGACCCTTCTACCAACAACAAGACTGCAGCAGCAACAGCAACTGTCTACTGAGCACCTAGGTAACAGGCATGGTACCAGGAGCTTTGTATACATTGTTTTTAAACCTCAGCCCATAGCCAGGATTCCCACACTCAGTTAACTCATGCCCATCTGACCGCAGAGACTAAAAGACCGGCTCCAGGTGACATGGGTAGGAAAAGGCAGAGCCAAGGTTCAAACCCAAGTCTGATTTTTTTTCCTCCCACATTGCCTCTCCCCTGTCACGTGATAAGGTTTATTCTCAATTCCCAAAGGTATTTTTGGTGCTGCTTGCCTGGGTGGAAAAGGCTTCATAGTCTCACTTTTCCCTTATGTTCAGAATGAGACACCAAGATGTGCCAACACCAAAATCAGTGGCATGAACCTGCTGGAGAATGACCTGTGCTTCCCTCCACCTTCCCACCCTCCTCCTGGAGTGTGCTCCTTGGAAAGACCCAGTCAATGCCAAGACCTAGGAGGGAAAAAGTTAACTGGTGACCAGCCTCCCTGGGGTCCTATACCCTGGAGTGGCTTACAAGCAACGGGGCTCTTGGACCAAAAGGACCAAACGGGTACCAAGAGCAGGTGCCTCAGCCATAACCACAACAAATGACCCGGAGGCATTTCCTGATGCTTGACAACTACATTAAGAATCCTGAATCCAGGCACAATTAGGAGTGAAAAGGCACAAGAATGAGTGAGATGAAATTTTCCATTAGCTTGATGGGATATGGGCAGTCAGAATTTGACTGTCCTAAGAAAAAAAAAAAAAGACATTTCTTTGTGGAGGGAAAAATAGTGCTTGTTGCAGGGTCGCCAGTGATTAGAGTCCTTTTAAGTATGACTTTGTTTTGTTTGCTTCCATCTCTCCAGCATCTAGCATGATGCCTGGCCCAACAGGTACCCAATAAATAATTGCTGAATTAATAACTAAAAGAGGAAAAGTGTTTCCCAGACTACTACCTGGAGTGTCAGACATCTCTGAGTCACAGGAATATTGGCCCTTCCAAAACCAAGTTTTAAAATAGCTGCTTAGGCCTGGGGGACACAAGTGTCTGGGGGTCATGCCATCCATCTGGTCACAGCCTCCTAGGTCCCAGGTCCCAGGAGAGGCAGGGCTCTCTGGAGGTGGTCAGGCTAGAGATGCAAGACCCTCCCTGTTTCCACTGCAGTGGGATGTAGATGGAGAACTGGGAGGGGATCTGGGTTCTACTCCCAGCTTTGCACCAGCTCACCAAGTGACCTTGAGTAAGGCCCCTTCCCCTCAGAAGAGCTCAGGTTCCTCTCTAAATCTTCTCAGGATTTAAAGTTCTAGGAGTCAATACACAGTGCCCGGCTCAGAAGGCTGAAAAACAGGACTCCAAGAAAGAATGCCCTTTGGTCATGCCTAGGCCAGAGATCAAAGCTGCCAAGAAAAGGGAACAGGAGATTAAAGTTTCTATAGTGTTTTCAGGGGAAGGCACTGAAATCGCTTTTGCTTTTTTTCCGCCCCCACATAAAGCCTCAAAACACCAGAAGTATGTCTCTAGCTGCTTGGTGGTTATCACTGAACACAAAATCCTGACTGGGTCAATCTGGAGGAGGGGCAGGCCAACGTGGACGCAGCATCAACTACATGCCAGGTGCTGTTGGGGCACTTTAACATATTCTCTGTAATTCTCACAAAGATCCACTGAGACAAGCCAAGATCTCCAAACTCAGAGAGGGAACCCACACAAGGGCACAGAACCGGTAAGAACAGTGGTGTTTAAAATGGCCATGTGTCTGCCAGCCCCCAAGCGAACTACGCCTCCAGCACACAAGCTGAGGCTGGGACCATCTCAGCGGCCATGTACCACCTGATTAACAAGGGTGGGCTAGGGGAGCGAAGGGCTCTCAGTCTCCATCCTGCAGGGCCTGGTCAGAGGTCACACACACCAGAAGCAGAAAGTATGGAAGCTTAAAACAAGCTGCGCTCAGTACTTCCCAGCATTTGTTCATCTGGAACAATCCAAGGAAACAATAAAGGCCTGGAATTCCCATAAGAGTTGGAACCAATACAATGCTCAAAGGTCCCTGTGCAGGAAAAAAAATGCACAGACTAAAGAAAACCCGAAAAACAAACAGCATTTGTTTTCTATGAAATATTTTCCCCTAAATTTAACTGTTTTCCAGACCAAAGCTCCACACACTTCACATGGGCCTTTATAATGCAAGTAATAGCCTTTTGACTTATCTAGAATGCTTGGTGAAGGGAGTTTGTGACTTTGCCAAGGAGCTATTGCACATTTCCATTTTACAGATAAATAAAATGGGTCCTATGCAACTGGCAGAGAGAGGAACAAAGGCATGATGAGCATTTTCAGATTTCCATGTGAGTGCCTTGGCCCTTGGACATTCAGTGAGGTACTTAACTAGCTTAGATTATGGATTTGTTGACCCTCTTAGTGGCTGAGGTTCTGTGCCTTTTGGGGGAAAAATGCTACCTAAGTCCCTTTCACCCAGAGAATGGCATGTTGGAAGTTGTTGATGTTTTACTGGTGCAGAAAGGTGGCTTGAGAGCAAACTCTCTTCCCACCCACTCCACCCCACCAAATTAACTACCATCACTTCGAGGAAGGGAGAGGGAGCCAATTCTATTTCAAAACCACTTTATCAACTAGACTCCCCACATGCAGGATTATAGGTGTCACAAATGGATCACAGAACACAGGCAATGCAATACCTGTGGTGGAGGAAAAGCCTGGCAGAGATTCCAAGAACAGCTTGTCTAGGGTGTCCTATGGCAGGAGGCCAAGCAGGAAGTGCCTTTCCTAACAGTAGGATGGAGGTATATTGGAAATGGGAGGCCCATCCACACTTCAGATTCCACTGGAGTTCCAAGACCCAGTGTAACAGGTTCTGGTGGCTAATGTCTCTAACCCCAGCCTAAAAGCAGGGTTTGGCAATAGAGATAGTGTCCATTCTCTTCTGGGGCCTAGGAACTCTTCAACTTCCATCCACAGGAAAAGCAAATGCCAAGTATTTTAACTAATCTGGCATCACTTGACACCTCTCCTATAACAGTTGTGCCTCTTCTAATAAGGAAAACAGGGATAGAGGCATCAGATGGTAGTTACCACAGAGCCCTGAATTAAACTGGCTCAAGTGAAAACTGAGACGATCAGCATGATTGCAAAGCTCAGGAGTCTGATGCAGAAGGCTACGCTTCTCTCTGTGAGGAATCACTTCTCTCCACCTAGGGACTGGCAGCAAGGCTGGATTTATCCATGCTAACAGAGGGTATGAATAATCAAACCCTGAAAAGAAGTCCTATATCTGACTCTAGGTCTAAAGGCCAGTTCCCCAGGGCCTACCTGAGTTGCACAGTTTTCAAGGCTTTCAAAGGCTACATCTGGGACACCTGGGTGGCTTAGTCAGTTAAGCGTCTGCCTTCAGCTTGGGTCATGATCCCAGCTCGATCCTGGGACTGAGTCCCACATCAGGCTCCTTGCTCAGTAGGGAGACTGCTTCTCCCTCTGCCTGAGCTTATGCTCTCTTTCTCTCTCTCTGACAAATAAACAAAATCTTAAAAAAAAAAAAAAAAAAAAGACTACATCTGCTAGGGAACAAGAAAGTGTTCCTGGCAAAGAGAGACAGCCTTTAGGTCCGCGGGGATTCAGGTGTCGCCTGTGTGCTCAGCCTTCCTTAAGTTTTTCACTCAACAGCTGTAGTAGTGATGAGCCCTGGGACCTAAGTTCTACTTGGCTACAGGGCAGGTAAGCCCTCCTACAGCACAGAAGTGCCATATCCAACAGCTAAGACAGAGGTGCCTCTCTGTTCCTTGGTGTCTGGGAAAAAGACGCCGGCCTCGCGAATCATCACAGTAGTTGGGCTGGGTCCTGAACTGCGCTTCCACGATGGGAAAATGACTGAGAGCCGTAATTTGGCTAATATTCTCAAATATTTTAAAATATTTTTAAAGACAACATTTATAAACATAAATATAAGCTCAGTCCCATTCACCACAATCTCTTTAAAAAAGACAGTTTAAGATCCAGTACTTGTGATTCTGTTCTCAAGCAAACCTAAAAATAATCTCTTTCTGATTTTTCGCAATAGTTTATAGTTGCCCCTGGGGACCAGCCAGTGATCTGGTTATCACTGATCTCATGTGAGTGTGCACCTGCAAAAGTTCTCCTAAAATTATACAGAAATCAAAGTAATTTTTCCAAAAGAGTACTAAAAATTGTCACTCAAGAGAAAACACTAACTGCAGGCTAAAGTACTAAAAAGACTGGACTGGACACTAGTTCGGTTTCAGCTAGAATATTTTTTAAAAGTTTCTTCATCAATTTCAACAGCACGAAGTGCAGGGCTATCAGGAGAGCAAACTGCCCTTGGAGAAGGTGGAACCTGCTTCTGCCAATTCTTTATGCCTTGCATACAGTAAGCCTCAAGTATTAGTAACACGAATGAGTGAATGACAGTGAGCTACTCTGCCCTGGTGAGCCATCTGTTTTTTCACATTTAACATTCCAGGAGGAAAAAAGAAGGCTGAAAAGCCTATTGAAACAAGAGTGTCTTACAAAGGCTTTTTGAGGTACGCTTTTTCTATCTG